AAAGTGATTTTTTACATGTTTTAAAACATCGTCACCGATATTGATATCATGATTAATGATAATGATATAGTTATGATGATTATAGATTCAAATCTTCTGACCTTTTGAACTTTGTAACACAAACCGATGGCATATTTTGATTAAGGAATAAAAAATTCATGGCGACACTGAAGTCGAAATTACCCAGTAATTTTAGCTTCATCCATCCATCAGCGCCATAATCAACAACGTTATAAAACATTTTATTAAATCAAGTTAAAAAACATAAAAATCATTAAAAAGCGATTTTTTACCATCCCTAGTGAACCACTAGGAACCGGAAACCGGTATAAGTTCGGAGCCAATAATTTTAGTACGAACGTATGAGCGTTCGATTAATGGTTCCAACCCTCGAAAATCTGGCAATGTATACTTGCAGATCAAAATTTTCGGGGTCGTTACGGACGGAAATGCCGATATTTTTATTGCATCAACATCGAATTTCAGTCATCAGTCCTACGGACAATTACTTCCTTTTATATGCTAAAGGCAGATAGCGATCTAGCCAAAAGAAGAATAGATCTTGTTTCAAATGCTCAAAAAATGTAGCACAAATATGAATGCGCCCTTTTGAGAAAAGTAACTAAAAGCGGGTTACGATCTAGCCAAAGGAAGAATAAATATTGTTTCTGATATTCAAAAAACTGTGGCACGAATATGAAAGCGCCTTTTGAGGGAGGTATTAAAGCAAAGAGAGATATATCATAGTGAATTTGTGACACAGTTATACATTTATAGGAATCGTCTAAAGCAAGGTAATTTTTAGGTTGATTAATAATAAATTTGTAAAGTAAAAGTCACGTGAGGCATATAAATTACCTAGACGATCCCCATTTATATCTACTTGATCGTAATTTGATTATTCATTTTTTCTTGTACAACGAATTTAAGATCAAAATGAATTTAAAACCCTTAACTAATTCACAGGTATATTTTTTATCTTAAATCATATTGAGATATGAATCGAATTAATAAAATTTTAGCCTGTCAACCAAGACAAACTTGAAGTATCAAAGATATTATTTGGAACGGCATCATTCGGTGGACTTTATGATGAAGTTGGAAAATGTTCACCTTTTGAAGCTGTATCGAGAGCTCTTGAACTAGGTATAAAAATAATGTGTTTTTTTTTTCTTTATTTGTTTTGTTTAAAATAATTTTTTATATTTTATATTTTTTCAGGAATAAACGCATTCGATACAAGTCCTTATTATGGAGATAGCGAAAAAGTTCTTGGCTCAGTTCTCTCATCGCTCAATGATAAATATCCACGTTCACACTATTATATTATTACAAAAGTTGGAAGATATGGACCAACTAAAAAAGACTTTGACTACTCTCCGAAGCGTGTTCGTGAAAGTGTTGAAGAAAGTTGTAGACGACTGAGAACTGATTATCTTGATGTCGTGTACACTCATGATGTTGAGTTTGTGGATATTGAAAAGGTCGTTGGTGATGATGGGGCTTTGATGGAATTGTTCAAGTTAAAGGTATGCACTTACATTTAAATTGCTAAAATGACAATTTTAACTTTGCACATCTTTTATAGAAAGAAGGAAAAATTAAATATGTTGGGATTTGTGGTAGGAAGTTACTAGTATTCATAAAGGAATTCAAATAGAAGCAAGGGAATTCAACATATTTAAAATACAGTCTAACTTCGATATAATCATTGGGTTGTAACTAAAAATCAATGTTATTAAGGCTATAGTGACTGCATAGGGCTTAACCTTCATATGTTTTATAATAATTGTTGCAGATTAAAATGAAATCAGATTAAAATAAAGTAAATAGACAAACCACCGAAAAATACAAAAATTTGGGGGTTTTTTAGCTTTTTTTTGGTTAGTTTCAGCTTTATGAGTAGAATTTATCGTAGCAAGTATAAGTGGGTTTTAAGAGGTTAAATAGAAACCCCCAAATTTCATTTTAACACGATTTCATTATAATCCGCAACAATTATTGGTAAACAAAAATCTCTTGACTATATCAAAGAAAATTCTTTTGACTATATCAAGATTAGACTGTAATATTGAATTTTCTGGTTTCTACTAAAGAGGTTTCCACGTAAGTAAATTATAATCTTCTCACTAACATTATTTCTCTTGTAGGATATCCATTGGACGTGCTTCTCAAAATAGCAAAAATCCAATATGAACATAATCAACCACTTGACATTGTACAGTCCTATTCTCATTACTGTCTTCAAAATACACTTCTCTCAACTTACGTTCCAAAGTTCAAAAATCTTGGTGTAAAATATTTAATGAACGCTTCTCCTTTATGCATGGCCCTATTGACTGAAACTGCACCACCAGGATGGCACCCAGCACCCGCCGAATTAAGAACAGTTATTCCTAAATGTGTATCATACGCAAAAGAGAATGGACTTAATATTCATAAGTTGGCCGTACAGTTTTCATTGGAATGGGATGGTGCAGATGGTACTGTTATTGGACTGTTGAATAGGAAGCAGGTCGAAGAAGCCGTTTCGTGGTTTAATGAAGTTATGGATAGAAAAAATGGTGAAAAAAACGTCGATAATATGGAGATGATTATCGTTCAGGAGATTCAGAGAATGATGGGAGGTTGGCTAAATTGGAGTTGGGAATCTCCAGCAACTGAAACCAGTTCAACTTGACTATAAATCAGATTAATCTTAATTATAGGAAAATGAAGGCCATCGCACTGAAAAATGATATATTCGTCTGAATGTAAAATTTTTGAAATTTTAAATTTGCAATAAATTAGCAATTTTACTAATTTATTATTCAGTATTACAAAATTATTTCGTTTAGTGCTATTAAATATCTAATAAATGTTAAATTTCAAATTTCAAATCTTATTACTGTATTACAATCTTATCACTGTATTACAATCTTATCACTGTATTACTAAAATCTTGCTAATATAATGCTAATATTAGTATTTTATTAACATAGCAATTGTCAAATATATTATAGTAATAAAATGCGCATACTTTCGCCAAAAACTTGTATATTATCAGCACAGTTAAATACATGAAATTATGCACAAACAAAACTGGCCTAAACTATACTATCACCTGACCCTGATGAGCACGAATATATCACTAGGCTCTTTGATCTTCAATCTTCCCAATAGCTTATTTTTAGTAAGCTCATTTTTGAAAAGACTATAAACTTTTACACTTTATGAAGTTCTCCACTTGGCAAATTCATAGTAAATTGCAATATCTTATTAATACTGTACATGAATCTTTCAAAGTAGAAACAAAAAAGGTATTTTATTGGCACACAATGATATTTTAAACTTACCTCTAGAGTACAGTTGGGATGTTTTTTATTTTTTTAGATTATGCGTACGGTAATTTTCATTATACTGTACTTTATGGAAATCTTAAATTTTTGCGATAATGTTACTATTGTTTGGGTGAGCTTTTACACTGTCAGCACAATTTAGCTCCAATAGTTAACTTACATAACCAATGTATTAAAACTATATTAATAAAATAAATAATATGGTCGTTATAGTAATCGTTTGTGCACGTGAGATTATGTAATTAATCCGAGATCGGGCACTCAATTATATCTATCGGTAATCAATCAAGTAATTAAATACGTAGTCAGTAATCACGATATTTAAGTGGTACGACCAATATTAAAGGTCGATACTTATAAGGTAATGGGGAGTAATCAAATCGTAAGTCACTTAACGGTTAAAATAATAAATACTAACAACAGTTGAGAAATCAATTCTTATATTAAAGACATTGAAGTCTAAAGCTTTATTTGAAGAGCGAAGAGACAGCTCTTTTATACTTTCAGAATACATTGAAGGCTTACAACAAGGAACCAAGTACATTTCTATCCCTAAGTCTATGTCTATACTTTGTTTCTATAATTTCGTTAGCCTTTCCAACCTTAGCCTGACCAGACAATAAACAGAAATGACGAATAAAATAAATAATTGTACAGATCTAAACTTTTAAGCCTTCGTCACATACTTAGCCTCACAATATTCTTGTGATTCAGGGCGTAACCGTAATATACTTTTTCGTCACTACCTATACGCTGCCCAGTCACGGTTTTTCAAAGAAAAATCATGACAATAGCAAAATAGAGAACCAGTTTAAATTATTAATAATGTAGGTCGCTAGAGGAAATTTTCATAGTAAATCGCAAACCTAGTTTCCTTAACAAGATTTTTTGACGAAATATGAAAAATTAGTGGTTTTTTTGTATTTCATCAAAAAGCCTCGTTAATAGTGCTAGTAGTGTTGTTAGACGAAACCTGGTGTTTCGTCATAGACGAAAACCGAAACTAGATACGTATGTTTTTCGGTAAAAAATTTTTAAAAAGGAAGCTGACGCACCCCTTGAATGTGTTCTAGGTTTGTGGCGCAGATGTACTGAACTACGAATAAGATTTCAAGATCAAGTGCTACGTAACGCGATCAAGAAAATTCAAAACAAACGTCCTATTTGTCAAAAACCACTTATTTCTCGAAATTCCACATAAGAAACTACTTTTGATGCTTTAATAAAAAGCTTTCATTGGGCAATTTTACCATATAAATTATCTTCATCTAGTGTTGTTAGGCAAAACCTAGAGGTTTTGCCATTGGCAAAAGTCAAAACTAGTTTCGACTTTTGCCAAAAAA